CCCATCTCCCGGAGCCCCTCTTCTCTGCCCCTGGCTGGTGCTGAAGAATGACCACCATCTAGAATGACCACCACCGCCTGCTCACAGGGAGAGAACACCACACAGGATCACAGACAAATGGAAACACAGTCACCCACAGTTATGGAAATGTGGGTATGAGCCCACGTGGTTCACATGTAGAACAGAACACCTCAACATCGTGCTTATATGTGGATAGACATTTGCTCACTAACTTATTCTTCAAATATTTAGTGAGATGGTATTATGTGCCAGGCACGGTGGGAGATGTAGACACACTTGAGCAGTGCCCTTTTATGTGCCCCACACCCCACAGTTACACAGGCATTGAAGGGCTCCTAAAGTAGGCATGGATGGTGGGGGGCGGAGAATCAACTTCCTGAGGTCACATCTCAGCTTGTAAATTGAATGACCTTGCACCCTACTTCTCCATTTTTCCTTCTAGCAAATGACAATAATTATCCAAAGACTATTTTGAATATTTACACATACACAGAACACAAAACGGCCTGTACTATTCATCCACCAAGTACTGGCTGTTAACAGTTGTTGTGTTTGCTAATTATGACCACTTTAGTCCTGGGGCTGGATTGGGAGAGCCCAGGGCAGCCAGCATGGCAGATCTGTACCCTCCTTGCCACTTTTGCCTTCTAGAAGCCAGCAGAGCATTCTCCACGGAATGCTACCTACAGACTTTACAAGAACCACTGGGCTCATGAGCTAGGATTGAGGGGGTCAGAGCAGGTGCCCCAAATCTCTTTTGCTCTTGCTCAGGTCTCTGCTCTCCAGGAACGAATGCTGGGGTGTGGAACGGAAGATGTCTTCTGTTCCTGATGCTTTTCTTGGCTCTATAAGTGGCCAACACTTGAGCTACTCATTCTCTGTCTTGAGGCCTCAGGTTTTTGCCAGTAACAAGTGGACTGTTGCTCCTGCAGGGGCCTGCCAGCACGGCTAGCTTTAGAGCAGAACCTGGGGAAGGCTTCCTCCCCTCCCATCCAGCCTCTGCCCGCCCCACCCAGCCACCCACCTGGCCTAGCCAGAGTGAGGGGGCAGCTGCTGCCGTCTCCATGGGGATTAATCTCCAAGAAGGTCATCAAGGCTCTGGCACTGCCTTGGCTGGATGGGGATTAGCACCTGGGTATGAACCCCCACCATCCACGGGCAAGTCTCCCCACTCTTACACAGAACCTGAGCAGCCTCCAAGCTGAGAAGTCCAAGGCTGGGGCAGTCATCGAGTGGGTGGAGGGAAGGCAGCTGCCCCAGCTGTTGGCCTGTCCAGCTGTGACCTGGCAGGGAGAGATGGAGTCAGATCTATACTCATCACTCATAACCTTCAGTATCCAGCCAGGCCACGAATCTGTCTTTTAATGGGAAGAGACTGATCTTCTAACATAGCCCTTATTCCACCCCATTTCCAGCCCCAGCTGTCCTCATTTGCAGGCCACCTCTATATCCTCTATTGGGGGGTAATTTCTGCACCCCAGTATGTTTTCACAGCTCCCTCTTCCTCTGCATACCTCAAGCCTCCCACCTCTGGTTACCCAGCCTCTAATCCCTCACCGCTCTGCAGTTCCTACTTCCTGTTCTCCACCATTATGCGTGTGTTCCTCTTCTCCAGGTTTCTCTCTGGTTCTCTCTTCCTTTGGCCTCCCTTTAGGTCTCGCCCTTGTGTTGAGGGGATGGAAGTCTGCAGCCTCACTGGCTCTATGCGCTCACTTTGTGCATCATCTCACGTGTTCTGAGCTGTAACCGTCTGGTCTCTTTCCTTCTCCCTGTGTACTTAGGCCTCTTTCTCATCCTTCCCTCCTCACTGTTTTGCTATTTCTCCTAGGCTGTGTCCCATTTCCCCAAGGCTGCAGTCAACTGCTCAGTCCCTTTTCTGTTCCCCTTACTACCTGCTCCCTCCCCCAGCTAAGGTGCTGACAGGGAAGACAGGAAGCAGGCTCTGGGCTAGGAGCTGTGAGGGGGGGAGGGGCTGCCCGCACACCAGCTGCTGAGTACCCTCCCCCCACTCCCATCCAGCGCAGCACCTGCAGGCCTGCCAGGCTCCTGGAGGCTCCACCCCACTCCTTCAGGGGGGGAGGGGTGTGGAGGACTGATCAGATCCCTACTGACACCCAGGAAATGCGGGTCTTCAGGATGGGTAGGGTGGAGGGCTGGGGGGAAAAGGCCCTGATGAAGAGGCAGTAACTTCTATCGCCAGAGCAGATCCCAGCACACTGGGTGGCCTCATTTTTCTTGCCACCCTTCCTCCAAGGACTGTTGCCTGTGTGTATGTGTTGGGGGAACCATAGAAAAGGAGACCAGCTTGTGCAGCACCAGGACCTGGAGTCCCAGCCGGAGACAAGCTCTTGCCTTTTGGCATAATTGGGGGAGGGAAGTAGATTCTTTTCAAGACAAGCACCTGATTAGGCCCGGCCAGCCAGTGCCAGGCTAAAAGGAACAGCTGAGCGTCAAACAGATGTGTGGTCAGGGAGGCCAGGATAGGGGCCTCACACATCCAGATGGGGGCCTACAGATCTTCCCTCACACCTGGCAAAGTTCCACTAAGAGGCCACCCTCTCCCTAGACTAGCACAGGTAACATCAGGGTCATCTGACTACTACCCCAGAGGGACTCAGAAGATCTTGTGGGGCCTCTGGGTAGCTGAAGGGGGGGGGAGGTAGTTGAGTGAACATTTAGGGGTCACATCTGCCTCTATGGGAGTGCACGAATGGTTCCCCATGTGATGTTCCTCCATCCTAAGGGGACACCAAGGCTCCTTATAGCTGTTCAAGAAACCTTCCTCTACTCCCCACCTGGAACTGGTCTCCTTCTCTGGGCCTGACTCAGCACCACCATGCATTCTGGAGAGGTGGAATAGAAACTACCTTGAGTCATGGGACAGATTCAGTTCAGGACCAGCCTAAAGCCAGGCAGGCCTTGTAGACTCCTCAGTTCTGGGGTCCTCCAGCAGGTGTCTGGGGCCTCAGGTCACAGAATTTTGGGTAACTGAATAAGGAGTGGCCCACCCCAGGTTTGAGCGATGACTTACGATCCACAGACTCCTGAGCTGTGGGCTACTTGGACATGGCCAGATGAGGGCAGAGGATCCAGAATTATGGAATTTGGGAAAGTCGGGTGAGCTCCTGTGTCTGGGGACTCTGACTTGGTTCTTTGCAATATCTGTCTCAGACATGTTTGGACTGGGGAAAAAAGGGGGGGGGGCGGAAAAGTGGCATGAAATGAAATCTCAGGATGTCACCAAAGAGATCAGAGGGGAATTTAGATCTTTCTGGAGGCCCCAAGCTAGATTCCCCATAACTCACACCTTTGGCTACAACCACTGAAAGGCACCCATTTTTCCTGTCAGGAAGTTCAAAGTAAGGCCAGGAGCCCAGGATCTAGGATATGGAGGCTGGGGAGCTCTTCCTGTCTGAGGCCAGGTAACTCCCCTCATTGTACAAATGGAAAAGGCTGGGAAACGACTTGCCCAAGGCCACAGAAGACGCCGAGACAGAGCTGGACTAGAAACCAGATTTCCACCTCCAAAAGACCGTCTGTCCGGGACTACAGCCTCCGCCTCCAGGCCCGAAGGACCCAGCTCAGGAGCCGCGCAGCCGGCGGGCAGTCTGCGGGCGTGGCTGGCTGTCAGGGGCCGGGTGGGAGCCGGATCTCCCCAGAGAGCAGCGACCCATATGGTGGCGGCGGCGGCGGCGTCAGGCAGGTGCCCGCGTGGCGATCTGGCCGGCCGGCCCCGGGACTGGTGCTGAGCAGCCGCCCCAGCCTCACGCGAGCCGAACGAACAAAACGCTCAGGTCCGGTTTGTGCGAGGGGCTCGTCGCGGGGCGGGAGCGGAGGGCCCGGGGCCTGTGGGTGGCCCTTGGCCGGCGATCCGGTGTTCCTCGGGAGGGAGCCGAGCGAGCGCTCCCCGCTCCGCCGCCCTCACCCGCGCACCGGCGGCTGACACGTCGCAGGTGCTCACCTGGCCCGCCCCTCCCTTCCCGGCCACCCTCCGCCCGGCTTTCCAAGTCCCTGCCCCCTGCCCAGCCCGGCTTGGCCTCGTCCCCAGCCCACGCCCCGGAGCTTGTGCCCGAGCCCGGGCTCAGCACACTCTTATACCGCCAGTTCAGTGCCCGCCCCTACCACACACACACACACACACACACACGCACACACGCACACACCTGTCCGGGCGCCCATTTGCTCGGGGCAAATATTGACTCACGCAGGCGGAGCGCCCTCCCCTCCTCCTCCGAGGCCGAGGCCGTGGCGGCGGGGGTGGAGGGGAGGGTGCTGGGGACCCGGGCGCCTCTGGAACAACACCAGATGTCACTTTTCCACCCACCTGCCTCCGGGCGGGGAGGAGCTGAGGACAGAGGCGGCCCGGCGGGGTGGGGTATGGGGGCGAGGGAGGAAGGTAGGGGAGAACCGAGAGGTGGCGTCTGTCTTGGGGAAGGCGGGACCTCTCCAGGTCTGGAGACCGGTTCGGCATCCGAGTTGCATAGTAAGGTCTGTGACCCGCTGTCTGCAGTTACCATGACCTTCGCCCCAGAGCCTAGTTCCCGACCTTCCGTGGCGTGCCTCAATTTCCCTCCTTTGCTAATCTCTTAGCTGCGCATCCAAGAAGCTAAGCAAACTATGGAAAAGGCGGGTCCTGGGGCCGCTGGCCTCGCAGCGGACGCGGGGGGCGGGAGGGGACCGGGCACCACTCTCCGTGGCCACTTTTTTCAACTGATCGAGGCTGGAGTTTGGCTTCTGTCCACTCGAGGACAAGGACGCGAGGGGTCGAGGCCAGCCCTGTGCGGTGCGGAGCGCCCCACGCCGGCGGGGAGCTGCGGGGCGCATCCTTCCAGCGCCCCCTCCCACCGGCGCGCACTTCCCGCCCCTCTCGGAGCCCGCGCGCACTTCCCCCCCCGCCGGGGGAAATAAAGTTGAAGCAGACAGAGAGGAAAAAAAGCTGGATGCTTTTATTGACAAGGGTGGGAGGGGGCGGGGGGGACCTAGGGCTGAATATTAGAGGAGGTGGGTGGCGACATCGGCCAAGATTCGGTCGTAGGGTCAGCGGTCGTATGGTCGGCGGCGGCCACGCTGGACGCCTCCGTTTGCTGCTCTGTTGGCTGCGGGGACGGCAGCACGTCAGTCCTGGAAAACAAAGCTCTAGGTAGGAGTGGGGACGAGGCTTCCGAACCCCCGGGCGCCCTGGCTCCGTTCCCGCCTCTCCCCCGGGGTGCGCGCGTGCGCGTGATCGCTGGCCCTCACTTCGGGGGCGGCGCGTCCACCGGCCGCATTGTGATGATGCGCGGCCGCGAGGTGAGCACCACCTCCCCGTAGCTGGCCTCCACTAGGACGTTCTGGATCATATTCTCCAACAGCGCCTCCTGCAGGTTGGCGAAGGCACGCAGCCTGGAAGGGGGAGCCGGGACACCGACGTTATCCAGGCCCAGGGCCCTGCGTGCCAGTCCTCCTGCTAGCTCCTGCGTGTGGGCTCTCCACAGTCGCCCACTGGACTCCGCGCCCCGCCACCCCCAACACCGTGGGGACGTGCTGCTGCAATTGGGTAGATGCTCCACGCGTGACTAGAAGAGATCATCCTATTGCTGATCTGCTACAACCCAGGCAGTGTAGTTTGGACACCCTAGAGCCAGATCTGGAGGGAGTGGTGACCAGGATGCTGAGGAGCTGTGTGGGGGCATAGGCAAGGCGATCCCCAAACACATAGAGTGCGTCCGGGGAGGCAGAGGATGCCATTGGAAGATTCCCATTTGAAGAGACCTTGAAGACTAGCTCAGCTTCTGTGATGAGTTGGTAAATATGAACAGACTCCCACAGGAGAAAATAAAGGTCAGTTTTGTTCTGCAACAAACGTCCCAATTCAGGACTTAAGTTACCAACATAACATCACAGGACCTTGAGTTAGCAAGAGATTTGGTACAGGTAGGGATCAACCTCAACATACCATGGCTACCTAGGAACTTTCTCCTAACCCTTATGTGGGCCTCGTAGCTCACCTTCCAATGGCCTCTTTCTCATCATGCTCCTGCTCTTCCTTCTTCATGTGTCTCAGGTTCTTACTCCACTGCCATTGCAGAGACTGCTGGGAATGCTGCAGCATAGGCTCAACCCCCATCCAGGTCAACTTTACTTCCTTCCCCTCTGTCTCTTCCTCCTCCATCTCCAGCTTTTCAAACTCATAATCCTCTTCCATCTCTTCCATCTCTTCCTCTTCTTCTTCCTCCTCTTCCTCCTCTTTTTCCTCCTGCTCCTCCTCTTCTTCTTCCTCTTCCTCTCTTTCCTTCTTCACCACTGCCTTGTTGTCAGAAGTCATGGACGTGACTGGCATCAAGTACAGGCTGCTGTAGGGGGCCATGGTCTGGGCAGATTGCTCACTCCAAAACTGGCAGAAATAGGGCACTTCCTCTACCAGGTTTTGATCCACAGCCTCCTGAAAGTTCTTGTCTTCCAGCAGGCCCCTGGGTGGCAGGGAGGAAGACATGGGCCTTCTGGGGGGAGGGGCTTGCAGCTCCCTAGGGAACCCTGGGTTTTAGGGCTCCCCAAGGAGTAGCTCTTGCTGGTAAAAACAGATGCCCTTGGGAAAGCATCATGGAGCATCATAGATTCTTAGACATGAATAGGAAGGAAGTGAAGCAGGCACAGGCAGCAAGTCAGAATGATACAGATGAGAGGAAGCCCCACCCTCCACAGGAAGCCCCACTTTTAGGGGCTTTGATTGAGATAAAGAGATGAGTGAAGACGAAGGTCTAGAAGTGGGAGGTACCTGATGATGGAGGTAAGGCAGTCAGTTAGAAGTTGCTTCATTTGCTTGGAGACAGGCTCCACCTCTTCAGCTACAGCTTCTTCCTCAGAAGCCTCTGTCTCTTCCCTGTGGCTTTTCTTCTTTGGCAGTTCCCTGGAGCAGGCCATGACACTCTGATTGACCTAGGCAAGCCCACTACCCTGGGGCACAAGCCATGGTGGTAGGTACCCAGTCAGGAGAACATAGATACTGTGGAGGCACCCCAAGGTTTAAGGCAAATACAGCACTACTATATATCCAGGCAGCCACGCCTAGCCCTTCATGTCAGTGCAGGACCTACAGAAGCTCTGAGCTACCCAGGAGCCCTGGGTAGGTTCCCCACAGATTCTTTGGCCCCCCTCCTTATAAAGACTTAAAGTAGTAATAGGGGCATCTTGGGTCTCACTCATCCCAGCCCTCACCAATGCTGGGCTGGGCATCCCCTGGTGACCCCTGCCTCCCCAAAATTTCACCAGTGCAAGAAGTGGCGGGGAAACTCAGAGAAGAAGTTGGCCAGGTAGTAGTCAATGGCGTGGGTTCGAGCAGTGAGGCTCAGGCAGAGAATGGCTGGCGTGGGTGGCTGGGGGTGTGACCACGGTGGCTCCTCCTTTGTCATCCGCAGTTTCCAGCTGGCAGGCTGGCAGGAGGGTTGCTGGTTTGTGATGGGGGGCAGTGTCTTTGAGAAGGAAAAACATGGATGATGGGGTGGTGGTGGTGGTGGTGGTATTTTCATCACGTATGGGTCCCTTGACCTAGCCCCTTAACAAGGTCTTTTGGGTCCTCTAGGGGGTAGGGCTTCACTTTCTTCCCTCCCTTCCTGGAGGCTGGGCCAGGGGATTCCAAGTATCTCTGGGAGTGAGCACAGACCTTCCCAAGTCATTCCAAGGAAGTCCCAGCCCTCACCTTATACCTCTTCACAGGTTCACAGGCTGTACAGAAAACTCTCCTCTGCAGAAGCAGACAGGTCCTTGCTTAGAATATGAGAGACCCAGCCCATGGCCATTTCTGTGCCTCTTGCTGATCAGGACTAGGCTCTGTGGCCTTGTTGGTCTTTCCCACCTCCCCCCATCCTACCCTCTTCCAGAATCTTCCCTAGGGAAGTGCTGCCTGTTGACAGGAAAATCTGTTCAGCCAAGTGAAAGAAAAGGAAATGCCACCAAATGTGGGCAGGCTGCCCCTGAGCTGCTTGTCCTTGTTCCCTGGGGACTAGGAAGCAGCCTATGTTATGGAGACTTGACTGGGAAGGCCCTTTGCGAGCTCTCCTGGGAAGAGACTGGTATTCACAGCAGGGAAGAGCTGCAGAGGGAGCAAAGTTTTTCTGGGATCTTTGTGTAGTGGACACAGAGCAGGGCAAGAACACCAGCTCAGAGGCTGGGAATGAGTCAAATGCTGTCTTGTATTTACTATTGCTCTCACTCTGGAAATACAAATAGCTGACATTTAGGGCATGTTCACTGGGTTCACTCTGGGGTAGGCATTTTATGTGCTTTAGCTCATTTAATTCACACATATATGTATATGTACATATAAGTGTATAAATGCCCTGATACATTATAAAGTATATAAATGTTTATACATGTAAGTGTGTGTGTGTGTGTGTGTGTGTGTGTGTGTGTGTGTGTACTTACATGGATTAGGACAACCTTGGATTTTGAACTCAGGGCCTTGTGAATGTTAGGCAGATGCTATTTGAACCACACTTCCAGCCCTTTTAATTTTTGTTATTTAATTTTATTTTTTGTCAGTCGTGGGGCCTGAACTCTGGGCCTCAGCTCAAGGCTAGCGCTCTACCACTTGAGCCACAGTGCCACTTCTGGCTTTTTCTGCTTATATTGTGCTAAGGGCCTCATGCATGCAAGGCAAGTGTTCTACCACTGAGCCACTTTCCCATCTCTACTTTTGTTATTTCTTGTGTATAGTCTTGCTTTTTGCTTGGGGACAACCTGGACTGTCATGGGGACGATAAGAGTGTAGCACTATACCTAGCCTTTAGTTGACTGAGCAAGAGGCCTCATGGAATTTTGTTTGGGATGGCCTCAAACCGAGATCTCCTGATCTCAGCCTCTTGAGTGGCTAGAATTACAAGAAGGAGCCACCTTGATTAGCTTAAAATATGTTTGAGTTTTTAGTTTGCATTTACAAAAGGAGAGCAAATGCTACAAAAAGAATCCTCTACTGTCTAATCACTCAATTCATGGCCAGTCTTGCCTCAATAGTCCTTCTCTGGGTTATCATGAAGCTAATCAAGCAATCAAGTTTGGATGTTCCGTTCCCAAAGCCTCACTCAAAGCTACTGTGCCATAGTTTCTTTCCTCAGCATTGCTCTGTATATTCCTGTGTTTCCAGTCCCAGTACCTAGAAGCTCCTCATGGAATCCTGCTACACGAGGCTAGGAATCATCAGCCAGCCTTCTCCACCCCCAGGTGACCTGGGGTGGCTATGGAGATGCTAGGCTGACTCCAGTAAGTAGAATCGGATGTCTTGGGGCAGGTTTGCAAGGACTACTACTTTGGCCCACTACCTTTGTGCCTTTGTTAAGGCTAGTCTGAGGAATCTGTGTGTATGAGGCCCTCTTGGCCCTTCTCACCTTCACTTTCCTGTCTGTGATGATAAACTCCTCCTCCTGCCGCTTCTTCTCCTTCTCCCACTCCTTTAACTCCTTGTGGTACTTCCACATGAGTTCTTGCCGGTATACCTGGACCCAGCACAAGGCAAGAAGATCTGGAGTTTCTCAGCTTGAGCTCGCTGGATCTGACTGACACGTGCCTCTCTCTAGAGAGTCTAGGGATCTCAGAGCCATCTCCAACCCCAGGACTGGAAGCTGTATCTTCATCACCATCTGTCTCTCTTGGACTGGTCCCTACCTTACATATCAGGTCCACGCCATAAAAGCTAGCATGCACTGAGGCCTGCAGGGTCACCACAAATGGGACTGTCTCTTCAGGAGCCATCTCCCCTTCCATCGGATCCACAGATATCTGTTAATTTGGGGAGGGAGTCTTCAGATCTCACAGGAATGGGACTGGATATGAAGACATGGGATATTGTGGGACAGGATGGGATGGGATGACCCGGGATGTACTGAAATTGAGCAAGTTCCGAATCAATTACAAGCCTTGCTGGAAGTTCTGAATTGGCAGGTACAGAAGACTCTCACCTGCCCAAAGTCTATGGAACTTGGCTGCCAGGAGAAGAAGATTGTGTCCTTCTTGGAGGTGTTGTTGAGGAAGAGCATCCGGCTACACTTGCTCTGTACAGGGATGTTTCCGAAGGAGACATGGGACTGGGACAGGAAGACAACCTATGGATGGAGACAGCATAGCGGCAACTTTGGGAAGTAAAGAAACAATAACTATACGCCACTGCCCATTCTCTGCATTCCCAACAAGTACTGTATGAGATGTTTTCCGTGTATGAGATCCTCCCAATGGACCTATGACATATGAACTACTATTGTTCCCCATTTGACATACATGCTGCTAAGGTTCAGAGAACATAAGCAACTTTTCCCAATGCCCTGTGAATGCAGATCTGGGATGAATTCAGCCTCACTCGAAAGCTTAGGATTTGAACCATCAAAATAAGGTGGAAGAGGCTGAATCAGAACTAGTTTAAAGAAGGCAGAACTAAAGCATTTGAATCTTGAGTGGATAGTTCTAAATGAATGGGTGATGACCTGCTGGCATCTCTACGGGGCACAGCATAAGAGCTGTGTTGCATGAATTTCTGCAAAGACTGGGATCACACAGAAAAGGTATTTTCTCTCTGTCCAGACCCTGAGTCATTCCAGCCTTTTCTCTACAGTGTTCATCCTGGAGTAGAAATCCAATGAGGGTCTGAGTGAAAGGGTAGACACATGGATAGTGACAGGATGGATACATAGATCAGTAACTGGTATGCAGGTTAATGAGTAGAGACGGTGGATGCATGCATGGATAGTTGGATGGCTGGGTAGATGGATGAATGGCTCAGACTTTCAATAATGAGAACCATATGACTTAAAGACAGTATTAATGACTTGATTTTTTTAAAAAAACAATATCATTCTAGATCCAGGAGAGGAACTATTCTATATGCAGATAATCATTAGCATGGGATGCCTTCTTTCTAGACCTTCTAACATCCCAGTCCTCTGCCCTGAGAAGAGGCCGAGAAAGAAGCCCTGCAGCAGGTGGAGCGGCAGATGCAGGAGCACTGTGGGCACTAGATGGCAGGGCAAGCCTTTCATGAAGCCAGGATAGTTCCAGCCTCACCTCTCTATCCTCCTCAATCCCACCTTACATCTTCCCCCAGTCTCTCCAGCCCTTTTACTGGCCACCGTGGGCTACTTAAAGCCCCCCTCTAAGGTCTCAGGCCTCCCCAGTTCCCTTTCCTCACCTGCCCAGGAACCATCAGCCTATATGGTACGGAGCTGGAGTCCCACAAGCAGATGTTGTGGAATGGAGCTGTGTTACCCATGATGTTGGGGTCATAGCCCACTCCCCGGAAGTGGATAAGGGCTGAGTTCCATCCTTCAATGTGTATGGGCACATCCACCTGGGAAGGTAAAGGGTGGAGTAGGGACTCGTCAGAGAGAGACCAGGTGAAGAAGCCACAGCTCCAACCTTCTGTTTTCCAGGCTGCTGCTCACCGTGTAAGTTTTGGCTTCAATAGGTGAGAAGATCCACAGGATCCTAGCGAGGGTGCCTGGCTGGATCTCCCCTTTGGGGTTGAGGCAGCAGAAGACGGAGTGGTCAAAATTTTTTTCCTGAACCTGTGACAGTATACTGGTCTCGACTTGATATGTCACAGGCACTGAGCCACCATTATACAGCTCATAGATCTGTGGGGTGGGGACAGGAGAAGAGAGATTTCCACACCAGTTCAGAACTGCAGACTAGAGAGGCTGGAACTCTGTGTCCTTTATAGGAAGGCAGGTTGTTGTCCATAATCTCCCTGAGAGTCCCTAAGCATCCCAAACACCTCTGATTTCCCCTACGACTTGCTTACCATGTAAAAGAAATGGATAACTATATATATAAAAACCTATATAGCCTGTGACATTTTAGGGTAATTTGCAATTCTATTCGTAAAGGAGAGATTTACCCTATTTTATTTGCCCTTAACTTATCCCCTACCCCCTCTCTGTAGGAGGGATTGTGCATGCTAGTCTTGGGCCTTGAGCTCAGGGCCTGAACACTGTCCCTGAGCTTTTTTGTTCAAGGCTAGCATTCTACCACTTGCTCCAGCTCTACTTCTGGCTTTTTGGTGTTTAATTGGAGATAAGAATTTCCTGGATTTGGGCTGGGAAGCTGGCTCAGTGGTAGAGTGCTTGCCTTGCATGCATGAGGCCCTGGGTTCGATTCCTCAGTACCACATAAACAAGAAGAAAAAAGCCGGAAGTGGCGCTGTGGCTCAAGTGGGAGAGCACTAACCTTGAGCTGAAGAGCTGAGGGAC